GAAACACGAGGATGATGTGGTTTCTCTAATTATTTGTATGTGGCAAGAAGATCATGTCCTGGACTTTTATGCCAAGGGGCTCAAGGATGTTTTCTTCAGGGGAGCACATGCAAATAAAGGAAACTAATCTGTTTCTTGAGCCTGAAGCCTTAGCATCCAAAAGATCTGAGTTAAATATAGATTTAACAAAAAAATGTTACTTGTAGTTTTGCTAAATGAATATACAAACAATTTGGAATCATAGGTGGCAGTGTTTCCCTGACCATTAGACAATCAGGGCACCCCGCCCTGACGACGAAGCGCCCGAACCCCCCCTCCCCCATCGACAACTGCTGGCACTGATGTAGCGCTAAGCTAGCAGCACGTACAATACAAACGTGCTAGCAGAAGGGAAAAGAGTGAAACAGTGGTGAAGCCTGCTGAAGAGCAGCTTGGGACGTAGAAGTCGGTCAGTTTTGACTTGCTAGTACGTATTTACGCTCATTTTTATCGAGTAAAGTCTGCAGATGAAAGGAGAGGTTAGCTTAAAACTGTAAACTTACCGAAGCTCGTCAGAAGCAGCACATGTTCAAACGCTGACGTCGTGACATCTGCCCAACGTGACCTTGCTCTTCTCTTTCTTTGGCAGCAGGTTCTCGCTTATAAATCCACCTGAAGGTCTCGTCTGAAGCTCCACGTCTGTCAGATTCCACCATGTATTTGTTACGCAGACGTCGGGTCAGGCGGAGTGCTTTGTTTACACCGAGTGCAGACCTGCATTTCAAACTTTTATAAAGTACATGTTTAAAACTACTGGAGTAAAACTCTTTCAAACTGCAGCGTGTGATATAAATCAGGAAAATCTTTTTCTATGACAGAGGAAGTCATTTGAAGGCGATGGGGGCATCCAGGCTTCACAATGAGGTGGTGTAAGCCAGCATGGTGACAGGGACATGACGCCATTCCTGCACGGCGCACGCTCCACAACACGCCGTGCGTTCACGCCATCGAAGTGACGAGGGAGCGCAATCAGGAGCAGGTAAACAAATTATTCTGCCCCCATCCACAAACAGATCCTTACGGTTGAAGATCCGCTGCATTCTGGAAGAAATAAACTGCTTTTTTTAGTCTGTTTAGACGAATTTTAACACAACGCTCTAAAAACATTGTCGTTGTAGCACTTGATGCACGTCGACAAGGGATTTAATTATAGAGTCAGCCATTTTCAAGATGGCTGCCACAGCTTAATCACCTTAACAAACACACAACTGTAACAGTTTGACAGATATTTGACTAACATTTGGTGTGGTAGTAGTTGAGAGCCATGCCCAGCTCATACTCTAAGCACTAACTGGTCGCACCACATCTGTTTTTTAAACTTTGCCTTTAATGATTAGTCAACAGTGTGTGTCTGTTAGCAAAATATGTCATGAACCACTTCACGTATTTTAAAGAAATTCTCTGTACTTAATCACTGGACGCTCATCTACATCTGATTCATTTTTAGAGTCAGACACTTTTATTACCTTTATTTCTACAGGTTAGTCTCATTGAGTCACGAGGACTCATTTACAAGAGGGACCTGATTTAGACCGACAACAATATACAGCATTAAAGAGCAACCAAAATAAAAATAGTTTTATAAAAACACTGTTACTCTTAGAAGCATGGTCCTATTAGCAGAGTTGTTCTGTTGGCAGCATGGTTCTGTTAGCAGCATGGACCTGTTAGCAGCATGGTCCCATTAGCAGCGTGGTTCTATTAGCAGCT